ACACACACACACACACACACACACACACACACACACACACACACAGAGTCGAGACCACTCAATCTACCCACGCCTCCACAATCGCGCTCGAGGAATGGCAATCTCCATGAACCGTGCTGGAGGAGCTCCGGTCGAAGTTGAATCTGGACTCCAACTGTGCTCGAGGAAAAATTCGGTTCAGTTGAGAATCTTCTCGGATCTAATGGTGTTTGACCAAATCGATGATTGTCCAGCGCCAGGAATTGGAATCAGAATCTTGTCGCATCCGTTGGTGCTCGACGAATTCGATGGCTGTTCAGAATCGCCGGCAGGGGATTGAACAGCAGAGCGGGAGGTCGAGAAAGGGGTCGACGCAAGAAGAAGCAAGAAGAAGCATCTGATGAGAAAAAAGGTGCGTTTCAGAAGCACCGAAAAAAGAAAGAAACAAGAAAAAAAAAAAAGGCAGAAGACGGAGTAAGGCAGTGATCTTTACGAAAAAGAAAATAAGTGAAGAAGCGATCTACAGCGTGGTTGGGCGATGGTCAGGCCAGGCAGCCAGCGCACTTGTTCGACTGGGGATGTGGTGGTCCCGCCGCTCTGCCATCACTTGCATCCCCCTCCCCAACCTCTTCTTCTTCGACTCCGTGTTCCCTCCTGTCGATGTCGCTCCTCCTTCTCCTCCTCCTCCTCCTCCTCCTCTTCCTCCTCCTCCTCCTCCTCCTCTTCCTCCTCCGTCTCCTCCTCCTCGTCACCCCCAATCTCCACGAGTTTCCTCAACGAGCGCCGACGGGCGGCATCACGAAAAACGGCCTGACAACTCTCGAAACGGACGTCGAACTTGAGCGCGGAGGGGCAATATCACGAAAACTCCAACGCTGCAGACTGGGCGAAAACATCGTTTCGAGACGGCACTGGAAAACATCGTTTCTTTTTTTCTTTTTTTTTTAAGGCAACGCATAAACTTTTATTAAAACCCCACATTTACGAGGCCGGGGACCTCACATTTCAACCCGGAGCTGAGCTTAAGTTTGCTGCCAGACCAACCTGGCGAAACAACAACCTGAGATATTTACCAGAACTAAGCCACGTTTCGAGAGGCCACGCCGCAACTAAATCGTTTCGAGAGGGCACTCGAAAACATGGTTTCGAGAGGGCACTCGAAAACATCGTTTCGAGAGGGCACTCGAAATCACCTGAACCCAAGCTGGGTAATGGTCCCAGTATTTGCTTTCCGGGTTGTTTGTGGAGGGATTCCTGGCCTCCCTTTTCTCTGGTTATAAAAGTGGTCTCTTTTGTATATATAAAAAAAAAAAACAAGTTATCATTATTGAACTGAAAAAAAAAAACAAAAAAAAAAACGCCTTTCTGACAGCTCTCGAACAGTTTCGAGTTTTTTTTGGGAGCTATGCTGTGTGGCCCGACTCGCGAATTTTCGAGATTCGAGAGTGGTGTGGCGAGGCCCTTAGACACATGGCGGAATGAGCTCCACACTCTCTCTTAGTCACTCACACTGGCAGACCGTGGCAGCAGGACAGGGCGTTCTCAGTGCTGCACCAGGCGGCCACGCCACCTTGTACGCTGTGGTGGGCCTGTGAAAAGGGAGGTCGATCGAATCACGAAGACTAATGGCATTGCCACACCACTCTCGAAATGTGCAAAATGAGAATGAACTTCCTGCTAGAACATGGCCAGATGCACCTTTCCCAGTTGGATAAATAGGTAAGGTTTTCCGGGTTGCTTAAGTGAACCCCGAGGATCAATGAAAGCYCCAAGTGGGCCATTTTTGGTAAGCTGAACTGGCGATGCAAAGTCGAGCTACGGTGCCAAACTGCGCGCTAACCCAGAMACCACAAAGGGTGTTGATTGATACAGACAGCAGGGCGGTGGTCATGAAAAATATGGCTATGACTATGCCTGTTTCCATGTTCTAYGGCAGGATTCATTCTCATTCTGCACATGTGGAGAGTAGCTTGCCCCTCCACAACTCGTCAAATGTGCAAAATGAGAATGGATCCTCGCATAGGACATGGAAAGATGCATCACATTTTTTTGTTCTTTTGTGCCTCGTGTACGTGGAGAGCGTCTTCTCCTGCC